TTTCGGGAGAGCGCTAAGGAAGAAATGAGACATCAGAGTAAGAGAAGCACTGATATGAACATACTTAGCTGTGGCGAAGGACGCGAATCGTTATGCGTCGGGCGCGACTTTCGCGCGCTGACGCAAAGTAAACATAGACGTGCACGCGAAGAATCGGTGGTCAAGGGGACAACACAGAAACACCGCGTCCCTCGCAGTCCTCTGCAAGCCCGAGCGGGACCGGACCGTAATCGAGGGAAAGCTGTGTCGCTCGAGGCCACATTCGCAAAGCGAGGGTCGTGTAAGCGTGCAGTTTCCTGTGTCTGAGCTGAGTGTTCGTCTGAGACATACGCGAGACGCGTTCGTCCCCTATGGCATCCCGCCACTAAAATGAGCTGACCCTGAGTGAATTTGACGTCGACCGTGTGGGCATGGAAGTGTGTGTGTATGCGCGCACGAATAATTCCCAGAATACCCCGGTTGGCCTGACCCACGGCGACAGGCGGGCACGGACGAGACTGCGACGGAGAGGGGGGGATCGACGGGTGAAGTAAGCGTTGGTAGCATCACAAAAGCACGTACGGTGGACGAGCAGCACACACCATAATCACAACGCCTATTCCTGGTCAACTCTGAGCTAGCCACATCGAGTGCCGGCGCGCGACGAGCCCGGCCCCTATGTAGCGCGACGGAAGAAGAACAAGGGCCGGATGATCGAGACATTCTAGGAGGAACGTTCGAGTCGATGGTGGAGCGCAACCGTATTTGCGATAAGGGGAGAACGCCGTCGTGAGACCGGAGGTGGGCCGCCCTATTGTGCTGCTTGCTCGTTTGCATTTGGGAGGGCAGATGCCTAATTTGCGACACGGTCGGATCCGACTGAGCTGACGTCGCTCGGCGGAAGGCCATGGTGAGAAGAGTGTATCCACTTGAGACCCGAGACCGCTAACGACGATCCTGGCGGATGCGTTCCTCGCGGGCACACATGAGAGCATCTGAAATGGCAGTGTTGTACGCACTGTATCTGCACCGTTCTGACCCACAGCGTAAAAATATAGCGCAGTCCAGGCAGATATGAGGGTGTGTACAAAAATACGAACGAGCAGGACGTAGAGGCGAGAATAGGACTGCGTAGCGCCCAGAAGTGGCGGGGATAGCGAGGCGTCCTGGTATGGGCCGTGCGCCATCCAATCAGAGACGTGGAAGCGATCAACGCTTGGCAGGGAGAAAATCGGAAAATGCCCACGGTGGGTCGCGGTGGCAGTTTCCGGAGTCGGCGCGTGCGTCTGGGACCCCACGCACCCTTTTTCCTCCCTCGACGACAATTCGACGGTCGATCAGAGAGTGACGAACGGATGGCGGCAGTCGCAGGCAGCTCCTCCATTGCTCCCTCGGCCTCGTCTTCGTCGCAGCAGCCCATCCTCGCCCAAGGCGACTGGACACAAAAGCTCGTCCAGCTCGCAAAAACTGCTGAACTCAAGTACGTCTCCGTGCACTGCCACCTTCATTTTTTTCTTTGCTCTGCTCGTGCTGCTGTGCAAACGCGGTGTCCATGCTGCCTGCCTTCATACCTGGCCTGGCTTCCTCGTATGTGGAAAGCAAGCCAGTGCGCGTACTTGGCTGCTTGCTCGCATCGTTCATAGCATCCGTACGATTGTGACGTCGCGGGCTACACAGTCCGCTCAGCCTCAACATTCACACAATTGCCTCGCTGGCGCTACGGGCACTCCCAGCTGCCGTGTGTCTGCCGGTCGAACATCCGTCGATCAAATATTTGTCTCTCGAACAAACGTCGTCGGTGTGCCTCCCGCGACGGATGTTCGGCCGTCGTTTTCCGGCTCCGCGACTGCAGCTTCCGCGACTGCATCATCATCCGGGACGTCGGCTGATCGTGCTTTGCTTTGCAGGAAGCATGCGCTGACGCTGCAGCTCCATACTGCGAACATCCTCTCGGCACATGCGGCTCTAGACGAGAAGAACAAGGCGATACAGGACGTCAAGGAACAGAAGAACAAGTGAGTCGTCTCGTGCCTGCAGCTGGCTAGCTTCCCTTGGCAGAACTGCGGGATAGAGCATAGCTCGATGCGTGGCGCACGACCCAGCATTGGATAATCTTCATGCTGGGGCTCGCACTCGTGCTGCCAAGAACTGGGATCTGTGGTGAAGCGCCGCTCAGCGGCGCATGCTTCTCAGACGCGGTCCTGTGACCTGTCACCGCCCTTGCTAAGCTTCTGAAGCTCAACAATAGCCAGGACGATGGCGAGGCGGATGCTTGTGCATCGCCACCATACTAGAATAGCTGGTGTAGGTGTGCGGCTCTTGTGCGGCGCGTCGAGACACAGGGCTGGAGCCAGGCGTGCCTGCTGCGAAAACTGCGGTTCTCGCTTTGTGACCCCGCGTATCAAGTGTGCTCTTTCGGAAACGCCAGCGCATATCCCTGGTTATCCTCAGTCGCCTGTCACAAGATATTACAGAGCTCGTAACTGACATTGCTTCATCACAGGCTGGACAGTGAGCGAGCGCGATTACTG